AACAAGGATGGACGAGGTAGTTATGTATTGATCTTATTGATGGCATTTGCTAGATAATAAAAATATGACAGGCTCCTGGGTAAAAGAGATGTAAGTCTCCGGGATTTCAAGACTATTGTTTAAGGTAAAGGATTCTACAGTGACCACGACCAATTCAAAGGATAGCTTCAAGAGGAAACTTCAAAAATACTTACTCACAGAGAGTTTATCATGTTGAGATGGTTCAGAAAATTTGTAGATCAGGTGGATGATTGTGGTAGAGTTTCGTCTTTTAATTTAGATGTTTCGGTGGTGGAGCTTTCGAATTATCACCGACCGCTTGGAGCATTTGTGTTTGATGCATGTCTCAAAACCTGCTTGTTGTCATCACTGTCCTTTCTTCAGATCGCTAACTTAATCCGTCTCGCAAATTATCTCTAATTCCTTTACCTTGCTTACAAATGTAAGCCATCTTCACTAAGGACTGATTATTTTATTTATTTACTAACTTCTAAAAGTCACACTGGCGTTACAATTTTGCCTTTATTATTCGCCAAGTCGCAACCAACTGGTCTCCGGCATGTTAATGTGATTACTGCTAGTGTCCAGAAACCCTAATGCCCTGAAAAAATGCACTCATTCAAATCACGGGACATCCAAATTCATAAAGAATTGCCAACTGAATAGAATTAGTGCGGTCGAATATCTGGACTACTATCCATCAGATATTACCTGGAACCGTAATGAAACAACAAGAAGCGAGTGCAAAGAAACTAACTGGTTTATACTAGCTCGCGAATATTATATTGGATATTGGACTAACACAGGTTCACCGACCCACTATTTTTATTACTGAAGACTGAGGACTAAAAGCCCTCCCTAACAACAATGTGTGGTGATGAGGTGAACGCTATGAATTAGCCAACATCATAGGAACCAGCTGCAGTTGATCGTAAAGAAATTGGATGCTCGAATTGTAGACTGGAGAAACGCGCACTGACTAAGACTGTGAAGGTCATTCGAGGTAGTGTGTGCATTCTCGTGAGTCTCACATTTCTCTATCGCATGTTGGTTAGTTGCTCATAATGTCGATAGCGAAGGATACGTTACTTGAAACACATACTTAGTCAACCTTAACTGGTACTGTTGTTATAGACGTCTTTTGTTCATCAAACGTTGTTGAGCAGAAGTTACGTATTTTGCTGAACACAGTTCAAGATTCGAAGTCTGTTTCAATATTACATAGTGTTTCATGTAGTTCGTATACAACGACGGCATATGATTTTAGTTGATTCGTCATTAAGTTCATTGTAAATTAGGTTCTCTTGGTTTGTTAAGAAACTTGGTAGAAGTTTCTTGTAAATTACAGCTTTCTTAAGTTTATTATACTGTCAGCGCTACTTTGGACTTGCGTTAATAAGCAGCAAAAGCCGATCAGTCTATAATTGCGGTGTGCGCGTAGAGTCGTGTGATGCGTTTTTAAACGTGTCCGACATTTTTAAATTTAAGCGAGGTTGTATGTGTGCCACACCTGGAGTGGATTCAGTATTATTTGGTTCAAAGGCATCAGCACTCAAAAATTTACAATTATTGGATCTTTTCTCTGCTTTACGATGAGAAATCCCACTCTTTCTGCTTCGGCTTCCTTACATGGTTGGCGAGTGATAGGTTTTGACGAAAATGAATGTAGTTCTTGATTTTATGGCTGTTTTTCAGTATTATACTTTGTATTTTACAGGTGAAATCTTGGGTATAATTGTTATATTTTCCTCTTAGATCATTTATAGATTATTTATACATCCTCAATATGATATTCCGGGTTTTAAGTTTTACTCCTCTTGACTCAGTGAGCGATGACTAATTTTTCAGAATTTTAAGATGTTATCGTCCAAAATTTGGTGGTGAATTTGTAGATATTTTATCATGTTAGTTTTTGAGACAGTTTTTGGAAATGAATGTTATCAGTCACTTAAGGAAAAGCGTAACCAGTGATTGACGTTTTTTACTTCTTTTTTTAAACGATGTTGTAGTGTTCTCTATGTCTTTGTGGATGATTTCATTGATCAAAAAATAGTTGTTTCAGGGACCTTCAAAGAAATCAGAGTTTCGATCAGGTTTTCAACGAGCTGTAAGCTTATATCATAAGTAAAGCTACTGCTGAATGGAAGAATTCACTAACAACCTTGTTAGTAGTTATTTTGTTAGTATTGGGTCCTCACGTACAAACAGATTTCTGCCGGTGTCTGGGATCTGTAATGTAATAGGAATCTTTTTAAAGGTTCTACGGTTTTCATCGTTTTCAGGTTGTGAGCAGATAGCGCCACTTAAGGACTCGGTTTTCTGTTGTAAACACCTCACTGCTATCATAGTTATTCTGAAGTCATAATACAGCTTATATATAGTTGGTTAAGCACTTAGATACACCCACTCTATCTTCTTAATATCACGAACTCATCACTTCTTTTTTAAACCAGGCGCTCTCTTATTACTTTGGTTTCATTTTGTTTCCCTTGTTTTCTTTATCTTGTTGCGAGGCGTTTAAGCTGGTGCCCTTTTGTATGAGCTTCAATGTTGGCATGGTTATCTGTTGCCACTTCAGTGGTAGCTAAAGTGGGGACAGCTCTAAGATTGGAATAGATAGTGGGAGATCAACATTTAGGTAGAGTTTCGGGAGAGAATATGAATGAGTTCGTTTCTCATGGCAGTTTGTGGCAACAGATCAGTCAAAATATGATGACTATTCCGAGTGAATGCTGAGCAATAGTTAACTCCTTTTTTCACGTTAATTATAGAAACTGTATTATTCTCTCATAAATTTCAATTACTGGTCTTTAACGAAGTTAAGGAGCGAAATTCTCTAAAAGGATAAAATTTATTCTTATTGTTACGTATGTGACATTTCCTATACAAGTATTTAATTTCCTCAATGAATCACTAACCACTGTTATAAGTCAGTCAGTCAGTCAACAACATCGAACTTCGTATGTACGTACATCAGCTGAAGTTGCTACACCACACAACTGTTATAAGTGCTTCATTTGTACATGTAAGGCTTTTATTAAGTTGGAGGTTTATGTGCTTACTGTTGAGCTAATATTATATGAGGGCTATTCACACTACTCGACTGTTGAAACCAAAGCTGTTGGAAGATGTCGAGTGTTTTTTTATAGTGGTTATTCACATCAGAGTAGGATAACAAATTGTTGAGATATGCGAGGCAGCTATTCCGAAAACTGATCATAAAGCGCAAACTAGCCGCTACCTTGATATGGTGGTCGAACTTGCCTACCGTGATGACCCAATTACACTATATTGACCGGGATACATGTTCCTTTAGGTCCTACCATGCCAGGTGGGTTGATCAGAGGACGGTAATACTGAAAAAAGTAACTTAAGGTTTGGAGGCGAAGTTGTACTGCTGACTGTAGAGGGATATGGCAGCAGTAAGGTGTTTCCTTTGGACAACTAGGATCTGCAGCGATGCTGCCTTCTCACAACTAGAGGAAAGGGTTAGAAAAGACCGACTCCAGAAATGTCACGACGCTAACTCAACTTCTTTTTCGGGTCCCTCAAGAAAATGAAATTTTCGCACGGTGAGGGCAGCCAGAAAGTGACGAGAATAACTTGTTCACGATCAAATTCTTTTCTCACCTCTTAATAACTCTCTTAC